ACCCCTAACAATCGCAGAGCCCACCAACCCCACATCGTCGTTGCAGCCGTCGACAGTCCTTATCGACTATTGCAGGGATCAATCTTTGAATGCCAGCAATCCTCGTGCCAAGGGGAAGGGGAGGATGGGGTACGGGGAGGTTGAGTTGCAGGAGGAAGAGAGGGACAAGCACCCTCCTCAGGATATCGGTAGTGATGTCGGGGGAGAGAAACCTGACCAGGATCTTGACGATGATTCTGGGGGTAAAAATCCTGCAGATGAGGTTCTTGGTGATCTTGTTGGGAACAAGAACCCTGCAGATGAGGTTCTTGGGGGCGAGAGCTAGTGGTGCTGGCGATGATGCGCTGCAGATGATAAGAGGGGCAAGATGTATGCGTAGGATGGCGAGCAATAGTTGTAGGGGAGATGTGAAGACTGAGTGATTAGGCAATCGGGAGGCTGCAGCTGGAATCTGTCGAGAGGGGGAATGAGAGGAAGAACCGGTGGAAATGGGAGATGGATAGGTTGGAGAGGGACAAAAGGCAGTGAGGGAGGCCGATAGGGAGGAGAGGGCCAGGAGGAGGGATGAAAGAGACAGGACAAAGTCGAGGAGAGGGGTGAAAGACAAATAGAGGGACAACAGGACCAGGGAGGAAAAAGCGAAGGAGAGGGATGAAAGAGACGGAGAGGCATGAGAGGGGTGAAAGAGAGGGACGACAGGGTCAAAGAGAGGGATGAAAGAGACAAAGAGAGGCGGGAGAGGGCCGATGAGAGGGGTGAAAAAGAGAAAGGTGAAGGAGAGGGCCAGGGAGAGGGAAGAGAGGGTCATTGAAAGGGCCAATGAGTGGAATGAAAGAGACAGAGAGGGAGGAGGAGAGGGGTAAAAGAGAGAAAGAGAGGGACAACTGGGCTATTGAGAGGGTCAGGGAGGGAGGAAAAAGCGAAGGAGGGAGGAGAGGGCCATTGAAAGGGTCAAGGAGAGGGATGAAAGAGACAAAGAGAGGCGGGGGAGGGACGAGGAGGGGTGAAAGAGAGAAAGAGTGGGACGACAGAGTCATTGAGAGGAGCAGAGAGAGGGAGGAAAAGGAGAAGGAGAGGGGCAGGGAGAGGAGAGGGCGAAGGAGAAGGAGGAGAGGGCTGTTGAAAGGGCTAAAGGAGGGGGTGAAAGAGACAAAGAGAGCCAGGAGAGGGGTGAAAGAGAGAAAGAGAGGGACGACAGGGCCTTTGAGAGGGGCAGGGAGAGGGAAGAAAAAGCGAAGGAGAGGGAGGAGAGGGCCAGGGAGAGAGGAGGAGAGGGCCGTTGAAAGGGCCGAAGGAAGGGATGAAAGAGACAAATAGAGGCAGGAGAGGGCCGAGGAGAGGGGTGAAAGAGAGAGAGAGAGGGAGGAAAAAGCGAAGGAGAGGGAGGAGAGGGCCAGGAGGAGAGGGCCGTTGAAAGGGCCAAAGGAGGGGATGAAAGAGACAGAGAGCCAGGAGAGGGGTGAAAGAGAGAAAGAGAGGGACGACAGGGCCTTTGAGAGGGGCAGGGAGAGGGAGGAAAAAGCGAAGGAGAGGGAGGAGAGGGCCAGGGAGAGAGGAGGAGAGGGCCGTTGAAAGGGCCAAAGGAAGGGATGAAAGAGACAAATAGAGGCAGGAGAGGGCCGAGGAGAGGGGTGAAAGAGAGAGAGAGGGACGACTAGGCCAATGTGAGGGCCAGGGAGAGGGAGGAGAGGGCCATTGAAAGGGCCTAGGAAAGAGATGAAAGAGATAGGGAGGCAGGAGAGAGGGGTGAAAGAGAGAAAGATGGATACAATGTTACATTAAACGCTGGGCGCTCCTGGGCGCCGGACTTGGCGCCCAGCGCTTAGACGCCTAGGCGGGCGCCTAAGCGGTTTCTGGGCGGTTTTTTTCTTTATTAATTTCTTTATTCAACTTGGTGTTTCCTTATGAAATAAATTCATTTACACACATGAAAGACATTGTTAACATTTTAAATATGTAAATATTTATAAATAGAGAATCAAGCCTTTAACCAAACCAATCTTATCTTATTAAGTAAAAGCAAAACTATGGATCTATTTTCTGAAAAGTTCGCAACTGCTCACACAGTAGATGGTAACTATCGTTTGTTTTATTACACTGATACTCAAATACAAAGTTCTTTGTTTTTTTTTAATTTTTGAAATAAGATTTCTTTTTGTTGCGTCTGCCATCCATGGTTTGTCCCAACTCTACCCTTGCAAGGATTAAAATTGACCCATAGCGCAAGTCCACTTCTTTTCAGGGAATAAGTTCCTAAGATTGATATTTATCTGCATATCTTCATTTTGTGGAGTTTTCTTATTCAATGATGGTTCACGGCTGCCCCATTTTGATGGAAAAAAAGAGTATTCATCTGTTGATGATGCCCTTCTGTCCAAAGTATGACCATTTTACAAATTAGCATCAAACTTTGCAACTAATATATTCAGCTTCTTTAATTTCAGGTTGTAGCTTTTGTTTTGGAGGCTTTCTTTGCTGAAATGGAACTGGAGACACCCAATGGACGTGAGGAACACGAGGTTGTTATTTATTTAAATATGCACTTTCATAAGATTGTTAACTGTTTCATTTACAGTTTTACACTTGCTTTTGTCGTGTTTTGCACATTGGACTAAGTTTACTTGTTCTCCAGCCAAGTTCTAAAATTTTAATCTGTATCTTGTATAGTTATTTGTGTCTGTAGATAGTTACTTCACTTTACCGTGGGGAAACTGTTCCGGAACTGCCACTATTAGTTCCCATTTAACTGTGCGAAATGATATGTTTGTGGTAACTTGAGTCATCAAATATGTAGCCATCTTTTTGGCATTCTCTCTTAATTCTGTCACTGTCGGGATAGCTTATATGCTCAGGAACTCAAATTTGCAGGTTCTCATTTTATTGCTTGAAACGATCTTTCATCATCTCCGTATTGATGATGTAAGGTGAAGTTCTTCTTTACTCAAAACAAAAGGTGAAGTTTCCAAGAAGAATCAAAAGAGAAATGAGTTTTAACAATAAAATCAGTGCTAGTGTACTCTATGGCCAATCGTTGAAACTATGAGATAGTTTTGTAGATGGATATATGGGAACTTATAAATGTACATTCAAATAAATCTTAGTTATCTGCAAACATCAGAAATGAATAATAGCTTCTAAATGTACATACAAAATTTATATTTGTATGAAATATATCTCTTACTTACCTGCTAACATTTAGCAACAATGTGTTTTACAAAAGCCAAATGTTTGTGCTTGATATAGCTGTAGTGTTTTGGGAAAATTAGGGTTAGTTTCTCTCATTGAGAGATCCCTCTTTTATATTAATGCATTCTTACAATTAGGTCCTTACAACATTGACTAATTCACTTAGTATCTAAATAACTCAACACTCCCCCTCAAGATGGGCGATAGATATCAATCATCCCCATCTTGTTACAAAAGATATCATACTCTCTAGAACCTAATCCTTTTGTTAAACAATCAGCTAACTGCTCTTCTGATTTCACATAGCTCAAAGTCAGAACTCCTCAATTCAGTTGCTCCTTGATAAAGAACCGATCAATCTCCACATGTTTGGTGCGATCATGCTGAACTGGATTGTTTGCAATATTAATCGCCGATTTGTTGTCACACCATAGTTGTAAGGAGTCTCTTCTAAACAAGCGCAGCTCAGATGATATGTTTTTTACCCACATCAACTCGCACAGACTAACTGCCATAGCTCTGTACTCGGCCTCAGCTGTAGACCTAGCCACTACATCTTGCTTCTTACTACGCCAAGATACGAGATTGCCTCCAACAAATACACAATAGCCTGTAGTGGATCTACGATCATCCATACAACCCGTCCAATCAGCATCACAATAGCCTTCAATTCTCAGATGTCCAAAACTCCTGAACCATAACCCCTTTCCTGGGCTTCCTTTAATATATCTAAGAATTCTGCGAACTGCCTCCATATGCTGCTCTCTGGGATCATGCATATATCTACTCACCACACTCACTGCATGAGTAATATCAGGTCTCGTATGACATAGATATATAAGTCGTCCAACTAATCTTTGATATTGCTCTTTACTCACCGGGTCACCACCCTCAGTACACATCTTATGATTCTGCTCGATAGGAGTAGATGCAACTCTGCACCCTAACATCCCTGTCTCTGAGAGAAGATCCAGAGCATACTTCCGCTGAGAAAGCACTATACCCTTTCGCGACCTTGCAATTTCAATTCCGAGAAAGTACTTCAACTGCCCCAGATCTTTAACTTCAAATTCCTCTCCCAATTTCTTCTTCAACAGTAGGATTTCCTCAGCGTCATCTCCAGTGATTACAATATCATCAACATAGACCGCCAGGATAGTGATACGAGTTTTGGAGTGCCTGTAAAACACAGTATGATCACCATTGCACTGCTTGTACCCCATACCACAAACTGCCAACCTGAATCTATCAAACCATGCCCTCGGAGACTGTTTTAACCCATACAAAGACTTCTTCAACTTGCACACCTTCCCAGCTACTTGAGAAGTAGTGAAGCCTGGTGGAATCTCCATATATACCTCCTCTTGAAGATCTCCATGCAAAAAGGCATTCTTGACATCTAGCTGATGTAGTGGCCAATTAAAGTTGGCAGCACATGACACCAACACTCTAACAGTACTCATCTTTGCTACTGGAGCAAATGTCTCGTCATAGTCAATGCCGTATGTTTGGCTGTAGCCTTTAGCAACCAATCTGACCTTGTATCTGTCGATCTTGCCCTCTGGAGTTTGCTTAACCGTATACACCCACTTACATCCAACAGCACGCTTCCCAGCTGGCAAAGGTACCAACTCCCATGTGTCATTCTTCTTCAAGGCCTGGAGTTCCTCGTGCATGGCATTCAACCACCTAGGATCTTGCTTAGCTACCTGCCAGTTGTTAGGTACAGGCACTGAATGCAACGATGCAATGAATGACTTATATGCAGGTGGAATGGATGCATATGAAATGTAATTTATCATACCGTAAATTGCCCATCACTGATAAAATTTTAGAAAAATCTTCGCCCCTATGTTTGTAAAGGCAGAATATCGATTAATATATTGAGATTTTTAGAAATAGAATAATTATATTACTTTAAGATTACAACATAATTACCTAATAGAGCAAATCCAAAATAATTACATAATTATATTTGTATTGAACCAACTGCTTCCTGTGATTTCAACTCAAGTTGGTGTCCTGTATCTGTAAAATTATGAGTTGCTGTCGATAATTGACCAGGGTTCACTATTTGGACTCCCCTTTTCGCTTTCTAATGAAATGGTTTTACTCAACAAACCTTTGTATTGTGTAATTTGTATTTAACAATTGCAGATATTGACATTGCTTCGAAGACTGCTGGTCTCCAGTTCTCCGCTTACTGACTTGTTTTTCAAAAATGTGGGTGTGACGAATGATGCATCACAAGGAATCGATATTAAAAACATGATTCGAGTTAAAAGAGAAAGCAACACAGAAGCTGAATCAAAAGAAACACACATCAATTTGTTTTTAAACAAGTCTACGAAAAAAGTGTCATTTGTAGAAGTTGAAGAAGATTATGTGAACTTTATATTTAGTTTCCTAACCTTGCCTCTTGGCGCCCTGATCAAGCTCCAAAATAACAAGTCGTTCTTGGGATGTGTCGATAACTTGTATCGAAGTGCCACAAAGGTTAGTTCAGACAAGTTCAAATCTGAGGAATGCAGGGATATTCTTCTCTCTCCTAAGCTTGCATCATTTTTTGGTTACACTGGTAACATGCTAAAGGTGGATGAAATTGCACCCCCTAAGGGTTTTTGCCGTGGTTGTTACAGTTGCTTCTGGAATAATAATGATATAGATTGTGAAGCTTCAGAATGTGTCCACGGCGTGAAGCGGGCAGATTTTAGGATGTTGAATCCAAAATCTCCTGAGGGAAGAACAGAAACAGGTGGTGGATATGCCAAGGGGAAATTCCTGGTGACTACTGATCTTTGTGTGTCTCAATTATCCGCCTCTTCCTCGCTCCAAACTGTCAAGAGCCAGGATCTTTCGTTCAGCGATCTAGAGATGAAGAGGGCCGTATTTGGAGAAATGCAGGTGATTCATTGTTTCCTTGACAGTTACATGTTTATTGTAGGCTATCCACCTTTACTCTTACTGTGTTGTTTTTTAACACTCTTGACTTTGGTGCAGGCTCTTGATCTACTTAGATCTGCCGTAACCTCTAAAACTCCAATTGATGACGTGCTAAATATTTTCGGAAAGCGAAGGTGGAATATGAATTTGGTTGCTAAAGAAGAAATTAAGCCACTTGATTAATTACGTGGCTTTTCCGCAATGATTTCGGAGCTTTATGAACCAGCAACTGCAATGGCGGATCGAGTATTAATTTCTGGAAAGTGGTATTACCATATAGTTAATAAGTTATAAAATTTACAGCTATTTTTGTTGAATTTTTTTACTTTGAAAAATAAAGTACGCTCTCTCATTATTATTAGCATTGTCAATTACATGCATGGCTACATAACGTTGATGTTCGAACGCGGGTGGGTGAGTAATACGTTCGACATGATATTGATGTTCGAACAGTTTGTATTTTTGATGGAAGAGAGCTGTTTCTTTCCCGAATTTCAAACATATGGCTATTTTTTGTTGCTGGCGAAAGTAACTGATAAGTTGTTTTTTTTACTTGGGAGCCTTAACAAACGAAGATGAAGGAAGCAACTTAAAAGAGAACTAGTTTTTTTTCCCCGCTATCTTTTCTGATGACAGGGTTTAATTATAGAAAGCATAAAATCGAACAGAAATTTATTGAGGACATTTTATGTAGGAGTTACAGGGTTTAATTATCATGTGCAGCAGGTGTCTGAAACTTTAGAGAAAATTATTTTTAGGGTAAACAGTTCCCTGTAAAATATAGTAAACGAAATTATCATCCTGTGAAAAGTTTTGCGATGAAGGAAATAGAGAATAAGCACGGTACTGAATCGAGGAACAAGGAAAAGAGAATCAACCAGCAATCCGTTACAGAAGCGACAGGGGTCCAGAAAAAAAAAAAAAAAAAAAAAAAAAAAAAAAAAAAAACTGAAGCTCTTGTAAGTGTACTCGCGAAATTAAGCATCTCATTTTCTCTCAAGAAAAGGTAATTCATGCAAACTGGTTTAGACTTAAAAGAGGATCGAGTGCCAATCTCTAGATGATACGATTCAACGGATTAAGAATCTCCACTTTGATTCCAAATTCAAAATATCGGTGGTGATTAAGACACAATTTTACTGCAAATAATGGATTTGTTTGCTTATCTTTCCTCAAAACTATCATTCACAGAATGTAATTTGATCCATTATGTCATCTAACGAAAACAACATATGCCTGAGATACAAAGTCATCAATAGACAACTACACTGTCGTCCTCACTAAAGGTAATTAGCAACTAATAAGTCTACTGAAAGGAAATGGAGCCATTACTGATCAATCTGCTTTTAAATTCAAATGGATCGACTAAACAAGCGACAAGTTCCTCTAAATGTCACTAACCTGAAAATGTATGTACACCTTCGATAAATACACTGAAGCATGTCCACTACTCATTAGATATGTATCAATTTCAGTATGTTCAAGATCGCGGACCCTTGAGAAACAAAGAACTGAGGGTTATAAATTTCAGAATCATCTGAGCTTTTGAATGGGAACTCGAAAGTATCCACTTGTATCTTATTCCATTCTTTGATGGAAAGTGTCAAGAACATAACGGTTAAGCTGTTCACCGAATATCTTGATAGAGAATTTCTCAGTGACATGTCGATGTGCCTCTTTACCCAACTTTATAGCCATTTCAGGAGTGGCCATAAGTTTAGCCATATGCTTCGAGAATTCTAGAGGAGTTGGATCACAGAGAAATCCTGTAGTTTCATGTATAATCGTCTCAACTGGGCCTCCACTGTTGCAAGCAATAACAGGTTTTTGGGCTGCCATTGCATCTAGAGGAGCAATGCCAAAGTGTTCATCCTGCAGAGATCAAACAAGAAGTTTTGTGTCGGAATCCAAAGCTTCGGCTGATTTATATGTTATGTTGTGTGCATTGTTTTGATAAGATCATGTGCTATTAGTATAAAAACAAAGCACTATCCCTTTGGTGTTTATAAATTTCATGAGCTTTTATTTTATTTTTTTTATCATTTATTATTTGGTAAAATGTTTTAATATCATGCAACGGTTATTTGTGTAAATTTACATATATTTTCTTCCCTTCCCTTCCCTCCATTAGTACTCCCAAACAAGTTAAATTAAGTTCACCTTCATTCACCTTACTCAACTCCCAAACAACATATTACAATTCCCCTTTCTTTCCTTACCTTCCCTTTCCTCAGTGAACTCCCAAACATAGCATTACTCTCCTGCCGCCGATCTCTCTCATCGTCAGGTACTACTACCATCTATTTCTCCTAATTTCTTGCGAATTATTTTTTTTAGCGAAGGATTCGAGCAAAGGGATCCAGTTGTTGCTTTGATTTCTTGATTTAGGGTTTCTGATTGTATCAGTTCACTGAATATGAAATTGCTTATTAGCTGAGAATCTTTTTTATTGGTTCTAAAGGATTTTGGTTAGATCGAGTTATAACTATGATCTTATTTTGATTTTTTTTTAAAAAAGAAAGTTCTCCATTTTTTTATTCAGACATTTTAATTTTAATTTTTTTTGGTAGAAATCCTTACAAAAAATGGAGACAGATGGAGGCCAGAAGCTAAAGATCCCCGTCATCCATCCTGACCTTGGAATTGGTTTGCGTTCTTCTCTTCTATGTTTCTTTTTATTTTTTATTAAATTTATTAATATCAGGGGCTTTCTACTGTCAAAATATGAAGGGTAGAAAGGGAATTTTTTAGAGAGTGTATGTATTTATAATAAATCACATGAATATGGCAGTTAATGTTTTCCCTCGTAAACTTTAAGAGTGAAGCCTGTTATTCATTTGAGTATAATAGGACAGATTCTTCATGTGCTTACATTGTTATGTGCATATGATAGTCATTATATGGCGATGCTTCTTGCCCAGTGTAAGAACTCCTGTTAGTTTAATGCAGGTGGAGCTGAAAGATTGATCGTGGATGCGGCAGTTGAACTCGCGGACCATGGCCACAGTGTTCATGTTTTCACAGCGCATCATGACAGAAGCCGTAGTTTTGAGGAAACAGTTGCTGGTGAGAATCTTGTGGACCTTGAGGAGTAAAATCTTTAATAGCCGATTCTTCGGCTTTTTAGTATTTCTGGAATCAGATAATACAAGATGCATGCAGCATATCTAATATCAATATTTATTAGTGTTCTCGTCAGTTTTATAGTATTTCTGGATTGTTGATGATTTTTCACAAATTTCAGAAATTTATAGCTTATCTTTGCAATTGTATGATATAGGTAAGCGAATGTAATTGTTTTCTGCCTGCTGTTCAGGTCCTTTTCCTGTTACGGTATATGGCGATTTCTTGCCTCGCCATATTTTCTACCGCTTCCACGCAGTGTGTGCATATCTTCGATGTATCTTTGTTGCCATTTGTGTGCTTCTCTTCTGGTCATCGTTCGACATTGTATTGGCAGACCAGGTCTCTATAGTTGTTCCCCTCATGAAATTCAAAAGATCAACGAAGGTAATCTCTTCAGCAAGCATTCTTTTCTTCATGCATAATACTGAACAATTGATTTCCCCTGCTTTTTGTGTTTCTTTTCCTTTTGTTTTAGAGCCAATGTAGCCATTAATGTTGTTACCATTGTAACCAAAACACTGTTTGTGATGGAGATATATCTGAACTATGATGAACATGTTAATAATTTTTTTTGTTGCCAGATAATTTTCTACTGTCATTTTCCGGATTTGTTACTTGCACAACATACAACTACTGCCAGGAGGTTGTACCGGAAACCAATCGACTTGCTTGAAGAGGCAACTACTGGTCTGTCCCATATGCATTCCTTTTTCTTTTCATTTTTTGATAATATCTACTCTTTTTTCTAAACATGTATTGAACTGGTCTTTTCTCTTTATTGCTCATGCTTATCTAGTGCCTAGACTAAATGATAATGATATTTGCAGGTATGGCCGATTTAGTACTTGTTAACAGCAGATTCACCGCATCTGCATTTGCAAAGACATTCTCGTGTCTTCATTCAAGAGGAATCAGACCTGCTATTCTTTACCCTGCAGTCAACATGGGCCAATTTGATGGACCTTGTGCTTATAAGTAACTGACATGCTTGTATATACCTTATTATAAGTAACTACAGATCAAATAGGTGTTGTTGCTACTTGGTAACCTCTTCTCTTGTTACTCAAATTCCTTTTTTTTTCAGGTTGAATTTCCTTTCTGTTAATCGATTTGAAAGAAAGAAGAATCTTCAACTGGCAATTTTGGCATTTGCATTGCTCCGTTCCTTGGTGATTGCTACAAATGCTTATTGTTTTCTCTTTTGTTGCATCACTGTCTAATATATTTTTTAATAAAACGGCGGGAAGCTTAGCTTGGTGGCTTTTTTATTTACGGGTCTACTTTTTTTGAGCCTGATTTACGGGTCTACTTTGATCGTCCATAAATGTAACTGCTGCATTATGAATTTGATGATATTTTCTTTTGTTATCATATATGCTAGCTTGTCTTTTCATTTATGCTCACTCACATTTACATTTACTCGACAGTTGTCTGCGGAAGGTCATTCTATGAGGAAGATCATCACAAACTAAAATAAACATTACTCTTGTAGTTTATGAGTTCACTGCATTCATTTTGCTTACGATGGTTTTGTTTTTCAGGTGGCTTTGACAAACGTCTGAAGGAAAATGTCTGAGTATCTAGAGGAACTTAAAGAGTTGGCTGAAACTGAAGGAGTTTCTGATCGTGTTAGGTTTGTTACATCCTGCTCAACTGCAGAAAGAAATGCTCTGCTCTCTGAATGTCTCTGTGTTTTATATACCCCAAAGGTAAGCAGAGTCCATTGTAATTTTTTTAAAGATACTTTTCCTCCTGGTTGTGTTGTTGATAAGAGTTCAATGAAATATCCCAATAAAAACAAAAATACGCCAAACTGAAGAAAGAGAAAACATAACAGGCAATAAAGCTACGCAAATGACCAGAAGTAAGCAAACTATAGAGTCAGCAATGATTCCCTCCAAAAGATATAAGCATGAGCCAAAATACCGTCCTCTTGAATCAAGAGAAAAAAATCCAGATGCGATAGATGTAAAGTAGTTGCCCCTCCATGATATTATCTTTTCCCACTCCTTGATCCTCATAAGACGAAACATCTGAATTACCCCTCTTTAATACAAATTTATAAAGTTTAAATCAGCCGAAGCTTTGGATTCTGACGTAAAACTTCTTGTTCCTCTTTAATACAAATTTATAAAGTTTAAATCAGCCGAAGCTTTGGATTCTGACGTAAAACTTCTTGTTTGATCTCTGCAGGATGAACACTTCGGCATTGTTCCTCTAGAAGCAATGGCAGCACAAAAACCTGTTATTGCTTGCAACAGTGGAGGCCCAGTTGAGACGATTATACATGAAACTACAGGATTTCTCTGTGATCCAACGCCTCTAGAATTCTCGAAGCATATGGCTAAACTTATGGCCACTCCTGAAATGCCTATAAAGTTGGGTGAAGAGGCACATCGACATGTCACTGAGAACTTCTCTATCAAGGTATTCGGTGAACAGCTTAACCGTTATGTTCTTGAGACTTTCCATCAAAGAATGGAATAAGATACAAGTTGATACTTTCAAGTTCCCAGTCAAAAGCTCAGATGATTCTGAAATTTATAACCCTCAGTTCTTTGTTTCTCAAGGGTCCGCGATCTTGAACATACTGAAATTGATACATATCTAATGAGTAGTGGACATGCTTCAGTGTATTTATCGAAGGTGTACATACATTTTCAGGTTAGTGACATTTAGAGGAACTTGTCGCTTGTTTAGTCGATCCATTTGAATTTAAAAGCAGATTGATCAGTAATGGCTTTCCTTTCAGTAGACTTATTAGTTGCTAATTACCTTTAGTGAGGACGACAGTGTAGTTGTCTATTGATGACTTTGTAGCTCAGGCATATGTTGTTTTCGTTAGATGACATAATGGATCAAATTACCTTCTGTGAATGATAGTTTTGAGGAAAGAAAATTTAGAAATTGCAAACAAATCCATTATTTGCAGTAAAATTGTGTCTTAATCACCACCGATATTTTGAATTTGGAATCAAAGTGGAGATTCTTAATCCGTTGAATCGTATCATCTAGAGATTGGCACTCGATCCTCTTTTAAGTCTAAACCAGTTTGCATGAATTACCTTTTCTTGAGAGAAAATGAGATGCTTAATTTCGCGAGTACACTTACAAGAGCTTCAGTTTTTTTTTTTTTTTTTTTTTTTTTTTTTTTTTTTTTTTTTTTCAGTCGCGACGCCAACAAGCTCGTCGCGTACTCCGCAGTTTACACTGGACCCCTGTCGCTTCTGTAACGGATTGCTGGTTGATTCTCTTTTCCTTGTTCCTCGATTCAGTACCGTGCTTGTGCTTATTCGGGAAAGAAACAGCTCTCTTCCATAAAAAATACACAACTGTTCGAACATCAATATCATGTCCAACGTATTACTTACCCGCGTTCGAACATCAACGTTATGTAGCCATGCATGTAATTGACAATGCTAATAATAATGAGAGAGCGTACTTTATTTTTCAAAGTGTAAAAATTCAACAAAAATAGCTGTAAATTTTATAATTTATTAACTATATGGTAATACCACTTTCCAGAAATTAATACTCGATCCGCCATTGCAGTTGCTGGTTCATAAATTTCCAAAATCATTGCGGAAAAGCCACGTAATTAATCAAGCGGCTTAATTTCTTCTTTAGCAACCAAATTCATATTCCACCTTCGCTTTCCGAAAATATTTAGCACGTCATCAATTGGAGTTTTAGAGGTTACGGCAGATCTAAGTAGATCAAGAGCCTGCACCAAAGTCACATAGTGTTAAAAAACAAAACAGTAAGATCAATTACTTGAAAGTTTTAAATTTCTATTTTGGTTAAAAAACAAAACAGTAAGATCAATTACTTGAAAGTTTTAAAATTCCATTTTGGACAAATATTCAACCTATCATTTGTTTTCTCACCTGCATTTCTCCAAATACGGCCCTCTTCATCTCTAGATCGCTGAACGAAAGATCCTGGCTCTTGACAGTTTGGAGCGAGGAAGAGGCGGATAATTGAGACACACAAAGATCAGTAGTCACCAGGAATTTTCCCTTGGCATATCCACCACCTGCTTCTGTTATTCCCTCTGGAGATTTTGGATTCAACAGTCTAAAATCTGCCCACTTCACGCTGTGGACACAGTCTGAAGCTTCACACTCTATATTAAAATTCCAGAAGCAACTGTAACAACCACGGCAAAAACCCTCAGGGGGTGCAATTTCATCCACCCTTAGCATGTTACCAGTGTAACCAAAGAATGATGCAAGCTTAGGAGAGAGAAGAATATCCCTGCATTCCTCAGATTTGAAACAGTCTGAACTAACCTTTGTGGCACTTCGATACAAGTTATCGACACATCCCAAGAACGACTTGTTATTTTGGAGCTTGATCAGGGCGCCAAGAGGCAAGGTTAGGAAACTGAATATAAAGTTCGCATAATCTTCTTGAACTTCTACAAATGACACTTTTTTCGTAGACTTGTTTAAAAACAAAGTGATGTGTGTTTCTTTTGATTCAGCGTCTGTGTTGCTTTCTCTTTTAACTCGAATCATGTTTTTAACATCGACTCCTTGTGATGCATCATTCGTCACACCCACATTTTTGAAAAACAAGTCAGTAAGCGGAGAACTGGAGACCAGCAGTCTTCGAAGCAATGTCAATATCTGCAATTGTGATATACAATTGTTAAATACAAATTACACAATACAAAGGTTTGTTGAGTAAAACCATTTCATTAGAAAGCGAAAAGGGGAGTCCCAATAGTGAACGCTGGTCAATTATCTGACAGCATCTCATAATTCTACTGATGTAGGACAGCAACTTGAGTTGAAATCACAGGAAGCAGTTGGTTCAATACAAATACAATTATGTAATTATTTTGGATTTGCACTGTTAGGTAATTATGTTGTAATATTAAAGTAATATAATTACTCTATTTCTAAAAATCTCAATATATTAACTGATATTCTGCCTTTAGTTACAATCATAGGGGCGAAGATTTTTCTAAAATTTTATCAGTGATGAGCAATTTACGGTATGATAGATATTAGGTTTTGGCTTTAAATAAATTTAATAAGAAATCTATCATCACATGCATTCATATTACCACTTTTGCTACTAGTGAAGGTGAAGCCATTTTGTATTTTGTTGTCTTAAAATTACTCGTAATTGTAAAGTCAAACGACTTACCTCGTCTCTACCGAGATCCATAACCTTCTCCTCGAGAATGCATTCATCTTCCATTCCCAATTTCTGAATGAAAGAAAGGTAATGCTCCATAGAAAACGGAGTTATACGAAGGTCATCAGTAATCAATCCATAGAAAACGGAGTTATACGAAGGTCATCAGTAATCAAAAACTTATCTCCACTCTTGACAAATAGTTTGCCAGCATCCACATTCCCTTCCCCCCACGATTTCCTTAAATCCATAGTTTTTCGACAGTGAGGACATCGAGCATTCAAAACAGAGCTACCCAAGCATGTGGCCTTGGCACAACAATCAGCCTTTCGACAAACATAGACGTAACTTGGATTCGACTCACTGCTATCAATATTTACCTTTAGATCTTCACATCGTTCAGCTGCAGCGCTTTGAGGGAAGAGAAGCATGGTCTTGCATGCCTCAGTCTGGAAATTATGCACATCAAGATTCTCGACGCTCCCATACAATTTGTCCATGCATCCAATATTAGATTGTTTGTTGAGGAGCCTGACGATGGTTCCCAATGGCAGGGTGAGGAAGCTGAAGAGGATGTCAATAAAGTCGCTGTCCGCTTCGGCCAGCGCCACCCTTTGCTTCGCCTTGTCCACGAAAAAACTAACGGTTACCTTTTCTTTACTGGCCATGCTGAAATGTATGATCCTCCTTCATTCAAGAGAACCTACAGCATAGTGCAAGAAGATGGAAATAATATGAGCCTTTGCCGCAAGAAAAAAAAAAGGCTGAAAAGGTTTTCCACACCACGGGTGACCCGAACGGTTGTAAGGTTCCAATATGGTTCCCACATGGTCTTGAGTTCGATTCCAGGTTGGGTTATCAAAAAATAAACGAAAAGGTTTCTTCTTGTATAACCTTCATATCCTATATAATAGAGAAGGTCCAAAGAAAAAGGAAAAAGAAAAACAAATTCCAAATATATCAATCTCCTTCAAGTTCACATCCTATATCAACATCCAAATATTAATTAACTATCCACTAATATTAACTACTGGCTTATAAACGGACATGTGACTATTATGATATCACTCCTAATATTAATATCGCCCACATCTATCTATTTATATTATACAGCAAAACAACTGATATATGTCTTAGGAACGAGAGGCGTCAGTTATTTTAGTCATTATTAAATTCATTTTTTGGGAAACAAATCACTATTATCTACTACTATATATGTTTTTAACTTCCCAATATAATGCATCATTATATATGTTACATCAAATTTTCTACAAAAAATCATCAACCTTCTCACCGCCCGCCTCTCTTTTTGGAATTCTCTCATGCATAACAAACTAGTATAGTCAATCTTACAACATCGTAATATTTTCATAGTACTAGATATATGTAATTGAAACGAGAAGAAATTAAAGGGAGAAGGGGGAAAAAATACCTTTTTTAGTAAGGGGAATTTAGGGTTTTTGCTCCTCTGCAAAAACCCTAACTCTCGCGATTTGAAACGAAGAAGGAACGGACCAAGAACGACTTAAATACACCTTGAGCAATTAATTGAAGTGGGCCCCCAATTGTACAAGGTGTTGTTATTGTAAAGAAAAATTCTTTAAGGACCCAAAATATAGGACCAATAGAGGGGACAAGTGAGGTGTCCCCCTCCTATTGGATAATGAATTGGCCATCATTAATGATGACCAATTCATTATCCAATAGGTGGGGGACACCTCACTTGTCCCCTTTATTGGTCCCATATTTTGGGTCCTTGTAGCAAAGCTCTATTGTAAAGCCATGTTCAGGTCCATTCTGTAGGCTTCAATTTACTATTAGAAATTATATGGGTTTTGCTACAGTGATCAAAATATGGGACCAAAAGGAGAGACATGTGAGATGTTCCCCTCCTATTGTATAATGAGCTGGTCATTATTATTGATGACCAGCTCATTATGCAATAGTAGGGGGGCACCTCACATAGCCCTCTAATTTTTCAAATTATAGGTCCATGGTTTCCCAATTCTAAGCTACAAGCACCGAAGGTAATTTTTTACTCTTAATTAATTTTTCTAGACAATCCATAACATTTCTTTTCTTCTTCCAATTTTTTTTTTTTTTTTTTTTTGTTT